ATCATCACAATGTAATATTGGTGCATATGTATAGATTGGAAGGTTGAAGAAGAAGAAGAGGAAATGTAGGCTAATTTTATGGTATCATCAAGTTGTGAATGATGCATGAATGAGTATTTATAGTTGTGGAACAATTATGGCAATAAGGATAAATTTGGAATAAAAAAGAAATAAAAATATGACCAAATCAAATAGGATGTGTCAATCTCAAACTCGTATGTGTCGACACATACTTTGTGTTTAGTTCGTAAGTGTCGACCTCAGGTAATGTCATGTGTCGACCTAAGCAACTCAGAGGCTACAAGCTTAAATACGCTAGTAAATGTGTCGACCTAAAAAATAGATGTGTTGATACATAAAATGGAAATTTCTACAATTTCAGAATTCTTTCAGTATGTTTCGACCTGTATGGATGCATGTGACGACCTGAGACTTACAAAAGCTACAGGATTTAAAAATGAGTTACATGTGTCGACCTGAAATTCGAATGTCTCGACACATGCAACAAAAAACTATGCAAAAATGATTTTTCATTAATTTGGATCAATTTCAATATGCTTTTTGATGAGTCCTAAGACCTATAATACGAAGGAGTGCCACAAGACATACATATACCTCTACTTCATAGAAGTGTCATCTTGTCCTGGTTTTGACATCATACAAAACACTTTTGAAGCAAAGTTGTACTCACAAATGATATCTTCACGAAATCCTTAGCTAAAGATAGATTTAAGTTCATTCTGAAATATTTAAAAATGGAATTTTTTCCAAAATGAAATCTTCCTTAAATATGTGTTTTACTCCTTTTGTGAAAAATAAGATTCCAACTATATGAAAATATTTTATTTCATTCATGATACTTCTACAAGTTAGAAGATGTCTTGATCAGAAATATCTCAAGTCAGAAACCTTAGGTATTCATGGCTCTTAGAACATCAACTTGTGTATTTTCAAACGAATGACTATTTATACATTGTTTGAATAACACCTCGAGCAGTGGGAAATATTTTTGAGATTAGATAAAATCTTCACGTTTTAATCCTACTTTTTTATTTATTTAAAGGAACTGTTGAGACATTCTTTAGTTGAAAATAAGTATTGTTAGCACGACATATCTATTTTCTTGTTTCTTTTGTTTTCTTGTATTAATTTTTCCCGACAATTGTCTTGGAAGTGGTGGTTGTCCTTTATTCTCTTCAGTCTCTGCTCAGACATTAACGACTTTAAGTGTCTCGAGTATGATTGTTTTCTAAAGAAAATAATTTCTCTTGTCAGTCACGTCTCTTCTTTTCATATTTATATTCTCCCTTGGTTCATCTCACTCTTTATCCTTCATTGTGTCATCATTAAAAAATTTATTCCCACAATTTTTCCCCTCATGTCTTCAACAACCTTCTATGGAAATGAGGATCTCTTGGAGATCATTTACGAAAAGTGTCCTAATTTGATGGGTGTTGGTAGTAACTTTTCTCTTAACTTTTATTTTCAGGGATGGTCTGGTTATGTTGCCATGCTTAATGGACCCATCTATCCAAACCTTGTAAAAGAGTTTTGGAAGTATGCCTCTATTAGAAATGATGGTAGCTTCACCAGATCCAGTATCTACGGTTTTTCCCTTCTTATCACTCTTTCCTTTACTGCTGAGGCTATTGGATGTGCTCCAATGGGCATCACTACAGAAAAATCTTATGTCAGGTACACCCCTATTGAAAAACTCATTACCATTCATGATACCTCCTTCGGATACGAACCCACCAACCCAGCAAACCTTTTTCCCCTTGCTAAAGATTGGTTTCATCTTTTGTTGACCAACTTTCGACCACAAGGTGTTAACAAGGACTTTCTGTATCTTGATGACAAACTTCTCATTTTTTGTCTTCTCAATAATTTTCAAATCAACCTGGATCAAACTATCTTCAATTATCTGAAGGAGTATGTGATTATCTCCAAAAATCAAAACAAATCCTTCAAACCTTATGAGAGAGTTTTATTAGAATTGTTCTCTAAGGTTGAGATAGTTATAATTGTTTGAAGGGATAAGATTGATCTAGATACCGCTCTTGTGGATGAAAGATGTGGTTGTTTTAGAGCTTAGTTGTTTGAATGTTTTGTGTCTTGTTGTCTTTCTTTTTAATATTTATGTGTCCTGTATGTATCCTTTTCAATCATCAATGAATTTTTTTTTAAACTTGTCTGTTATTATCTATTTCAATAGAAACATTGGTTGTGTTATTCCATCAAAAGTATTCCATCAGAAGTATTTCATCAGAAGACAAGAACAAAAATGTGATCTCTTATGTACTCATCATTACTTAAGATTATAAGTATTTCATTAGAAGATAAAGATCAAGAAACTTGCACTAGAAAAAATAGTACAATAGTATAATACATATCCCATTATGGTGAAAACATATGTACAATCAAAGATTTGTTATGCTCTTGTCTCACACAATCTCATGATACCATTATGGAAGCTGGCAAATGAAAGTAACGTTTTGTCCTTCTCAACGGTCTACTTTTTAAAGCCTATATAAAGGGATGACTATTCTATTGAAGATATAACGATTCAACATCAAGGATTTGAAAAACAAAGTTAAAATAACACTATTGAAAAAAAGAAGTTGTTATGCAAAGAAATTTATGAAAGAAATATTTTCTCAAGAGAAAACACAAAGGGTTGTTGCTCAGTTTTGTGCTAACAGTAATTCTCAATCAAAACACAAAGAGTTGTTTCTCATATTTGTGTGTAAATATATGTTCTTCATTGTAGTGTTAAATATTCTTTTCTAGAAGCATTGTTGTAACCACTTTCTATTGTATTATTTTGAGATTTTTTTCCTCAAGTGACTAAGTGACATTCTGTATACTTGAAAAGGATAAGGTGTTTTCTAACTCTTAGATGTTGGTAATCTTTTGAGATTTGTTTTTCCTCAAGTGACTAGGTGCTAGTCTGTATACTTGAGAGGGATAAGGTGTTTTTCTAAACTCTTAGACATTTGTTTGTAATCTTTCAAGATTAGTGGATTAAGTCCTTTTTGAAGGCGAAATCACCTTGGCGGGTGGACAAGAGTAGCCTTGTATAAGGTGAACTTGTATAAACTGATAGATTGTAAATCTTGATTGTTTGTGTGAAGCATTTCTAAGCAAAAAAAATTTTATAACCCAATTCAAACTCCCCCTTTCTTGTATTTTTCTCTACCTTCATATTTCTCACTAAACATATGAGTGGACTTTTCTTGTCTCAAAGGAAATATGCAGAGGAAATTATAGAACGAGTACAGATGTCCTCTTGTAAGTCATCACACACTCCAGTCGACATCAAGGAAAAACTCAACGGGTCTTCTCGGAATCCATATCATAACCCAACTGATTATCGGAGTCTGGAAGAAGCATTACAATATTTAACTTTCACAAGACCTGGTATCTCTTATGCAGTACAATGAGTATGCCTATTCATGCATGACCTTAAAACACAACATATGTTAGCACTGAAGCAAATAATTCAGTATATTCACAAAACTATTGATTTCATCCTTCACTTGTATCCCTCATTTGTTAACAAATTGGTTTCTTACACTGATACAAATTTGGAATGGTTTCCCAGACACCAGACCATCCATCTCTGGTTATTGTGCCTATCATGGTGGCAATTTAATCTCATGATCTTCCAAATGCCAACACACCCTCTCTTGGTCTCTCTTAGAAGCCGAGAACCGCGCATTATCTAACGTAGTATTTGAATCTTGTTGGATTAGAAAATTATTATTGGAACTACATTTCCTAGTTGCAATAGTCGTTTTGGTCTATTGTGATAATATGAGTGTTTTCTACTATCCGACAACTCAGTTCAACATCAGCACACCAAACACATCGAGATGGATATATATTTTGTGTGTGAAAAGTTGTCTGCAACCAAGTACGAGTATTACATGTCCCTTCATGTTACCAAATTGCTGACATTCTCACCAAAGGACTTTCGTTGCAACTCTGATGATTTTTGTGATAATCTCAACATTTGTTAGCCTATCTTTTCAACTACATGAGTGTTTAGAATATCATTGTTATTATTTAAATGTCATGGTTATTAGTATTAGAATCTCTATTTATAGAATAATCATAATTGTATAGCACAAAGATATAGAAACTTACATTATTTATATATACATGATTGGGAAATCAATAAAAAGGAAATACCTCTGATTGGGAAATCAATAAAAAGGAAATACCTCTGATTCTTACAATAGATATATCAGATTTTCCGAATACACTACTAGATTTATTGATTTGTACTGAAAATTTCATTTATTCTATCGAATTTTCATTCATAATTTTTTACTACAATTTGGACAAGGATAACATAGATATTATAGAAAGCCGGGGGTGCCAGATCAAATTTGGAGGTGGAGGATAAGTTTTCGAATATTCTTTGAGAAAGCCCAACTAATTTAAGCCCGATGACAAAAACCTCAACTTTCTTCATGGTAACATTAATTAATAACACGCGGAACATGATTACATGGCAAATCCTTATTGGTCACATTCGCGTGGACAAACATCACAAATCCAAGTCAAATTTTATTTTATTTTTTATAAATCTATTACAATTAAGTAAACGAGTAAACAAAGTTTTTTAAAACTTCATTCACGAAACACGACGAGTTCACCGTCTCAGATCACCGGCGCCGTTGATTCTCATAACCGGAATTCCCCATTCTCAGGTTCCTTTCTCAATTTTGTTTTTTAGTTGTTTAATCGGAGAAGTGAAATTGATTTGCTTGTGTATTTTGAGTTTCATGCAGTTAAGGTTCTTGGTCTAGGGTTTTGAGATTTTGGATCAAGGTTTCTGGTATTTATGAACTAGGGTTTTTTGATGCTAAAACTTGATTTGAATTGTTGCTTGATTTTAGGATTGATTACTCTGGTTTGAAATTAGGAATTGGGAATTAATCTGAATTGGGTTTTAATTTTGATGTTAAGTGTGTGAATTTGCATTTCAGAAAATGGCTTTAGGTGGAGGAGGTCCCCAAAGAGGAAGTGCAGCTGCTACTGCAAGCATGAGGAGAAGGAAAACAGCAGGCGGTGGAGCCTCTGGAGGAGCAGCTGGAACTATGCTTCAATTTTACACCGATGATGCTCCTGGACTCAGAATCTCCCCTAATGTAGTACTTGTGATGAGCATTGGTTTTATAGCTTTTGTTGCTGTTCTTCATGTGATGGGAAAACTGTATTTCAGAGAGGCTTAAGAAGCTGGGTTCGTTTTTGGACTTTTTATACATTGACTCTGTTAATGAACTTAGATTTCTGTTGCTAGAATGATCTATATACCTTTGATATTGTATTTCTTTTTCTTATTTTTAAGTTTAACAAGGGATTGAGCTTTGTTTATCTTTTGTTCCTAGAAGTAAAAGTGGTGTAAGATGTAAAATTTTATGGTTCTTTTTATGCGTACTTTTGAATTGTTAATGATGGTGTGGGGAAATTGGTCTCCAAAAGATAGACATGGAAAACACCATTCAATTTCAAACAAAGAAATCCATACAATTTACACTTAAAATCGAATAGTTAACTAGCTTCCATTAAAATCAAATGGGGGTGGTAATACAGGTCTGACGGCGTGAGTCAAGGTTTTAGGTTCACAATCTCTAATATGTATTGTCCGTCTCACCCAAGTTTTTTAGGGTTTTTTCGAACTCGGGCATTATTAGAATTTTTTTGAAACTCTTAGCTTTTAGCGGTGCAAGGTTTTAGACCTGTGTTCTCAATTATGTTTGTCATGTGTTATTTTTTTCCTTAGATTTTTGTGGGACTAGATTAAAATATCAACTATATAATTTTTACCAAAATTTAAATTTTATCACTAAAATTTATTATTTTTACGGATCACTATAATCACGATATCTTTTTTATTTTAATCAATAAAATATTTATAAATATTTAATATTATTATTGATATTTGTAAATATTTATAATTATTATACATATTGGATTTATTATATTGATGATTTGCTATCTATTTATTTTTAAATATTTTTAATTATTAATGATTTTATAATAACAATTATATATTAATAATAATTAAATTTTATCGAATGATCTAAGATAAAAATGAATTTATCTATACAGACATAAATCTTCTACTAATATTAGATGATAAACAACACTTAGTTGATATGTTGTTTGAGACATCATCAATGCTATAAAAAAAATCATTATTTATTTGAAACTCCATATTGCTTGATTCCTAAGATTCCTCAGAAAAATTATGATACATTCTCTTTGCTTAATAATAAAATACATGAAAAAGAAAATAAAGAGTTTGAATATCATCATCCCACTGAAAATCTGTCTAAATGCCATCTCACGCACATCATAGCATTTCCCCCCGTAGGCCATGACCAAGGCATACATGGAAAAAGCTTCTCTCTCTTCCCACCTTTAAATTCTTCACTTTACTCTTTGTCATAGCAAGAAGATACAGAGGTATTAGAAATGCAATGTTTCTTAAATTCTTATATGCAACTATTTTATTCCACCTTCTATCATAAATCGCATTCACAAACTTTTCTTTTCAATATACTTCTAACTTCTGTGTGAGTCAAATGCTTTTCATTCTTCCTTTGAAAATCTGAACTTTAAAAAAAGTTAAAAGTGAGTTTGTTCAACTTGTTTCACTTGTGTATTTACTCTTTTTTTTTATCCTCGCATGGTCATTGCTTGTCTACTCTATTTGTTTTTTTACTACTCTTTTTGTTCATACAATAAATTGCTAATTCTAGCTCCATTTTGTAGTAGCAACGTCTATGACCGCGACCACAACCTTTAAGGGTGATTCGAAACAGCCAAGAGTATTTGGAGAAGTTGGTAGTTGATCTATTTCAATTTAATCAGAGATTCTGTATTTAAACTTAGCTTTAAACACACAACAGTGTTAAATTTTCTTGAAGAAAAATTTTATCGTCTATTGTGATCCTTCCAACTTGAGTGATTAGTCTCTATAGTTGGACCCATAAGATACTCAATTTCTAAATAAGTCATTCAAAACTTGTTAGTACCATCTTTTTGTTCCCTCCCCACCACTCTCATTATTTTTTCTTGCACTTGAAACTTTCTTTTATATGCACCAAAAGTTTGTTGTTGATGTAACAGTTTGGTTCATAAACCATGCTTTATTGGGACCCTCCAATACTTTTCTACAAAGTGCAAGAAAATTGAAATATCAATGTTCATAAGATCCTCTTCCAAATAATTCCCTACATTATACATATGAACCTAACAATGCAAGATCAATTCAGCATCATCCTTTATTTTTTTCTTGTTGTTTTTGTTCCATTCCAAGTGACCTCACTATACCAACCTTTCAATGAAGATATGCTAGGGTTGATTGTGTTCAAATCAGGTCTAGAAGATCCAAAAAACAAACTTTCTTCATGGAATGAAGATGATTATAGTCCTTGCAATTGGGAAGGTGTAAAATGTGACCCTTCAACTAATAGAGTTTCTTCTCTTGTTCTTGATGGTTTCTCTCTTTCGGGCCATATCGGTAAGAGTGTTATGAAGTTGCAGTTCCTTCAAATTCTTTCACTTTCTAGGAACAACTTCACTGGGAAAATAAACCATGATCTTCTTGTTACACTTTGGAATCTAAAAGTTGTTGATTTGAGTGAAAATAGTCTCTCTGGAACAATTCCGGATGAGCTTTTTCGTCAATGTTGGTCATTAAGAGTTTTATCATTGGCGAAAAACAATCTAACGGGTAAGATTCCCGAGTCTTTGAGCTCGTGCTACTCGTTAGCAAGTTTGAACTTTTCGTCTAATCAGTTGAATGGTGAATTACATTCCGGAATGTGGTTTTTGAAGGAACTTCAATCGCTTGATCTATCGAATAATTTTCTTAAAGGCGAAATTCATGAAGGAGTTCAAAATCTATATGATTTGAGAGAGTTAAGGCTAGGGAGGAATTTTTTCACCGGTAGGATTCCGGAGAATATAGGAAACTGTTTGCTCTTGAAGTTGATCGATTTCAGTTATAATCTTCTAACCGATGGAATCCCGGAGTCAATACAAAGACTCACTTCATGCACATTATTGAATTTGCAAGTGAATTTTCTCAATGGAAGCATTCCTCGTTGGATCGGCGAATTGAATAATCTTGAGATATTGGATCTTTCTTCTAACACATTTTCGGGTTCCATTCCTTCTGGAATCGGAGGTCTTACAAGTTTGCAAGTTTTGAATTTATCTACAAACAATATATTTGGTTCGATTCCGGCGAGTATAAAAGAGCTTAAATCTTTGTATGTTCTTGACTTAAGTGATAACAAGCTTAATGGAAGCATTCCTTTAGAAATAGAAGGAGCAGTTTCACTTGTTGAGTTGAAGCTTCAAAGGAATTTGTTAGGTGGAAGAATTCCACTTCAAATTGCAAAATGTTCAGCTCTAAAATCTTTGTAAGTTCTTTATCACACTTTACATCTTTCATGCTATTTCACAGTGCTTATAGCATAAACGTTTATCATATATATTTTGTATAAGTTATTTCTATACCAAAAGATAAAATCAAATCAAATTGTTTTTCATATAAGTTATAAGCTATTTTTATAAGTTATCACCGATAGTCTCATGAGTTCTTAAGTACTGTCGGTTGACGCCTCTGAAAAAAGGCATCAGTGTGGTCATGTTAATCTATGTTAGTGTCAGACACCGACAATTTGATTACGTTCAATTTATTATTACCATTATTTACATGTTAGTGTCGGTGTCGAGTTCAGTGTCTGTGATCCGTGCTTCATTACTGACAAATGCTTATAACAGAAGAATCTATCATTGTTTCTAACTTTTATTATTTTCTTTGTGAATTTCAATGGAACAGGAATCTTGCACACAACAATCTTATTGGTTCAATCCCTACATCAATTGCAAACCTAACAAATCTTCAATATGCAGATTTGTCATGGAACAAACTCTCCGGAACTTTACCGAAAAAGCTCACAAATCTTACACATCTTTCCTCATTCAATGTTTCATATAACCATCTTCAAGGTGAACTTCCAATTGGTGGATTCTTCAACACAATCACTCCCTCATTTGTTCATGGAAATCCATTGTTGTGTGGTTCTGTTGTTAACCACTCATGCGACCGATCTTATCATCCTAAACCTATTGTTTTGAACCCTAATTCAAATTACAACAACTCAAGAACTTCATTACAAAACCATCATCATAAGATAATGCTTAGTATATCGGTTTTTATTGCTATTGGTGCGGCGATTTCTATTGTTGTTGGTGTTGTTGCTGTTACTCTTTTGAATATTCATGTTAGGTCTTTGGTTTCGCATTCTGGTTCTCCGTTTGGATTATCCGGTGGTGAGGATAATAGTTTTTCGCTCGAAAAAGATCCAAAATGTGGAAAACTTGTGATGCTTAATGGCGATGTTGTTGAGTTTTCCGATGAGGTGAATAATCTTCTTAAAGAAGGTAATGAAATTGGCCGTGGTGGATTTGGAGTTGTTTACTGTGTTGTCCTTCGAGATCAAAATTTCGTTGCGATCAAGAAGCTTATAGGTTCGAGTTTGACGAAATCACAAGAAGATTTTGAGAGAGAAGTTCAAAAGCTTGGTAAGATTAAGCATCAAAATCTTGTGTCACTTGAAGGTTATTATTGGAATTCATCTTTTCAGCTTATAATTTATGAGTATTTTTCTAGAGGGAGTTTGCATAAGCTTCTACATGACGATGATCAAAGCAGAATTGTGTTTTCTTGGAGAGCAAGGTTCAAAGTTATTTTAGGAGTAGCGAAAGGTTTGGCCTATTTACATCAAATGAACATAATCCATTATAACCTAAAATCTACTAATGTTTTTATCGATATTCACGATGAACCGAAAATCGGAGATTTCGGTTTGGTGAATCTATTATCAATTCTAGACCATTGTGTTTTGAGCAGCAAAATTCAAAGTGCGCTAGGATACACGGCTCCTGAGTTTGCGTGTCGCACGGTTAACATAACTGAAAAATGCGATGTATATGGTTTTGGAATTTTGATTCTAGAAATTGTGAGCGGAAAAAGGCCGGTGGAATATATGGAGGATGATGTCGTTATTCTATGTGATATGGTAAGAAGTTCATTAGAGGACGGGAAAATTGAACAATGTATCGATGAAAAACTTATTGGTCATTTTTCACCTGAAGAAGTGATTCCTTTGATTAAATTAGGATTGGTTTGTGCGTCGCAAGTACCTTCGAGTCGTCCCAATATGGATGATGTTGTCAACATATTAGAGACGATCCAATGCTCTTCAGAAGGACAACAAGAGGAAATACAATGAATTTTGAAGTATAGAGATAGAACATGTATTGCAATATTTTGTGAAGTACAGTTCAGTTTGCTTGTTTTTGAACTTATATATAAGCAAATAATTAATATTTAGTCAATTTTGTTCGATGCTTATGGTTGTTTTTGAGTTTTCATTACTTGTGAAAGTTTCACTATATATATTTTCCTGTTAATTTTGTTCAGTCGAATTTGTATAAGCCTAAATTTTAGGTATCAAAAAGCCCATATCTTAAGTTTACTAAATAGAGCTATCAATAGGAAAAAAAAAAAGTATTTTGAATCTAAAAAGTGGCAAAACTAAATTTTGTAATAGTTGTTTGTGTAAAATAAATTTATATTGGTCATGCAAGACCCTTGAACTCTTTCTTTTTGAAGAATTGTATATATTAACTATTGAAAAAAATACTTTACTAAAATAATTAAGAACCATGATTATTATTTGAGAGATTAATTATAAGTTATATAAATAATCAAATATAAAATTTAATGGATTGCACATACCACTAACATTATAGAAATGATATTTTAATATTTAAATTTAGGTGTAAAAATGGTGTCAAATATAATTTTTAAACGCAGTAGTGTATTAGTAAAATTCATATAAATATATGAATTAAAATATTATGAGAGAAATAAAGACATTTATATATAATTGATATACATCAGATACAATATTAAATATTAGATGTTCAACAAAAAAAAAAAACTATTTGTAAATAGACTTACTTCCCTTACTCCATTTTACTTATAGCTTTTGAAAAAGAACACTCTCATGCATTTTCTTAACAAAAACAAAGTCAAATATTAATAAAATGAAAATTTTATTTGTTTCGGATCAGCCAAAAACTCAATAACGTAAAATTCTCGATTATCAATTTAAAATCATAAGATATTAAAAATATAATGTTTCCGCTGTTGAGAACTTTTATGTATATTGAAACTAAAAGAAAGAACTGAACAAATTGGACGGAATGAATCTCTTTATTAACTGTAGTATTGGCTTAAATAAGCCATTGAATACACGATGGAAATAATAACTGAAACAATCAACTATGCTAAAATAAAGGCTGATTATGCTAAGTGGTTCCTAAAATTAAGGAAAGCAGAATACAAACTAAAAGACTAAGTTTGTCCAATAAAATAGGACTTTTATTCTAACTTAAAATTAAGCAGTAACTCTTTCATTCCCTCCCTTAAACTAAATGCTGTACAGCAACTAGTTTATGTCAGGAATTTCACATACACCCAGCATCTTCCTAAGCTTCTGAAAAACTTCAAGTTTCAATGGTTTGGTCATTATGTCTGCAACTTGATCTTCAGTCCCACAATGAACTAGTTCAATTGTGCCCTCTTTAGTAAGATTCCTTAAGAAATGAAATCTCACATCAATATGCTTGCTGCGACCATGCATAATGGGATTTTTAGACAGCTTGATGGTCGAGCTATTGTCACACATTATAGTTATACCATCTCCATGAGAATGTCCCAACACCTGATAACACAATTTTATATAGTATATTTGATTTAATTTTCATAAATAATGTTAGTATTTTTATTTAATTATTTCATTTTATTTCCATATTACGCCGGTATTTTTATTGTTTCAGGTATTTTATTTTAATTAGACAAATTGAGCAAAGTGAAGAAATTAAGAGAGTTATTGGACTAAATATGCAAGAAATGAAGAAAAGGGGTGTGCAAAGCAAAAATGATGGATCAAAAGGTTTATTATCTCCAAACTGGGCCCAAACGAAATCAGGCCCACGCAAGCAAGAGAGCCCTAAAGGCACGTGCAAGAGTGAGACGCACGTCTCAACTCCTCTCCTACAATTGAGGCGCCCGCCTCGGACCCTCCCCTTAGTGGGAGGCGTCCGTCTCAACTGCCACGTAGGCCCTAGGATGATACATGAGGCGCCCGTCTCAACGTGGTCAAGTGGATGAGTAAATCTCGAGACGACCACCTCCTCTCAAAGCAGTTAGAACGAGAAATTTGGGGAAAAGTGGTACGAAAATATCTCAAAACGTGGTTACATTCTACCACTATAAAAGGACACCAGGAAATCAAAATCAGGGGGCCGTTTTTAGCATTATTTTCCAGTTTCAGAATTTACCTTCCCGCATTATTATTTTCCATTGTAATTCAGTTTCCAGCAGTTATTTTCCAGCCAGTTCCTTTTCAAATACTTAAATTTTATTTCTGTTGAAGAACCGGGATTTTGTACGAATTGATTCAAGCTTCAAGAATTATTTCCAGCATTTATTTAATTCAGGTTTCTTATTTACATCGCTTTAATTTATTTAATTAATTATTTGCATGAGAGATATTTATTTAGCCATGAATTTATTTACGAATGTTAATTCCTTTAATGTATTCATGTCTGCTTTTATGAGTATGTCTGGCTAAATTATTTAAATATCGATACGTAACGAGTTAATTTGAATGGATCCGGAACAAACAGGCTTGATTATATTTTATAAAATAAACACTTTTTCTGATTTAGTTATCTAATTTATTTTGTTAAAAAAAGGTTTAGAAACCAACAGAGCGAAAGTTTGAGGCTAATAAACTGACTAAGATTAGAAACCAATAGAGCGACAGTTTGAGGTTTAAAATCAGATAGTAGATACTAGGTATTGTTTTTAAAGACTGCGACAGCGTTTTAAAACCAATTAAACTTTATTTATTTTCAAAAAGTAATTTTAAAATCAATGGGATAGCGAAAGCATACATCAGAGTTTAAAATTATAATTTACTTCAATAGAGCGAAAGTTTGAGAATAGATTTTTGAATAAATACTTTTTGCTGAAAAAGATATTATTATCATTTTTAGAAAATAAGCCAGTGGAAAGCCGGATTCTTTAGTGTTAACGAAGTACATACCGATATTCGCATTATTATTATTTCAATTAGAATTAAGTTTTATTACCCAAAAATTCCCCTAATTAATTATTCGATGGCTATAGCTTTACACAGTAGTTTAGGTTACGTTAGTTCGATTTATAGTCCCTTAGGTTCGATATCTTTTAAAACTACGCGATAGGGCTGTATACTTGCAGTCTCCCGATTAATTTAGACGATAAAGTCGCGATCAAGTTTTTGGCGCCGTTGCCGGGGAACTATTTAAGTTGATATCGTAATTTTATTACGAAGTATAGACTATAGCAACTATTTCTTTTCCCTCTGTGTATGCCAAATACTCGCTCTCAAGGCGCGCCTTTGCATATACCTATATATGATATCGAGCGTTACCTTAGATTAAGAAGACGAATTCAAGAGTATTTAGAACGCAACAACCTTCCTTCGACCAAACTTCCTGACGTTGAAGAACTCAAGAAGATGGCTGATCTACCTGCTCTTGCTCCTCGTCCTCTTAAGGACTACGATGTTCCTTCTCAAGCAGAGCCTCATAATAGTATTGATGCTCCTGCTATCGCTCGAAACGATTTCGAGCTAAAACCTTCGCTTCTTTCCGCCGTTCAGCAGAACCAGTTTTCTGGAGCTCCTACTGACGACCCGAATCTTCATCTGTCAGTGTTTGTGCAGTACGCAGACACTGTAAAGCGAATAGTGTTAACCCCGAGGCGATACGATTGTGCCTATTTCCTTTTTCTCTCAGAGACAGAGCTCGCACATGGCTCCAATCTCTTCCTTCCAACTCAATCACCACATGGGATGAGTTGAAGAAAGTCTTCTTGGCTAGATATTTTCCTCCAAGCAAAACTGCTATGCTCAGAGCCAATATCAATGGTTTCAGACAAAAAGACAATGAATCACTCTTTGAAGCTTGGGAACGTTATAAAGACATGCTTAGACTTTGTCCTCATCATGGTTTAGAAGAATGGCTGATCATTCACACGTTCTACAATGGTCTCTTGTATAATACGAGATTGACTATAGACGCCGCAGCTGGTGGCGCACTGATGAATAAACCATATACTGAAGCAAGACAACTTATCGAAAGCATGGCTCAAAACCATTACCAATGGGGTACGGAGAGAGTTAGCGTAGAGAAATCTCAAACGAAAGGTGCCATGGTTGAAGTGAATAGTCTGGATCAAGTCAACGCTAAAGTGGAAGCTCTCACTCAAAAGCTCGAGAATCTTACCACCGCTCCCGCAGCTACTGTTGCTGCAATTGCTCAAACTTGCAACTTATGTGGTATTCAATCACATCTTGCTCCAGAATGCCCACTTTTAACAGGAGTTCCAGTTGAACAAGCGAATTACGTACAGGGTAATCCTTACAGCAACACATATAACCCTGGCTGGAAGAATCATCCTAACTTTTCATACAAGAGTAATAACGCGTTATACGCACCTGGACAAGCTCCTGCTACACCACCTGGTTATCCTAAGGCTATTCCAAATCATCCTAATAATAGTCCTAACACATCTAATGCTCCTAGGAAGTCTAATTTGGAAGTCATGATAGAGCATTTCATCGCTACTCAATCCCAAACCAATAATACTCAATCCCAAACTAATAAGGATGTTCAAAATCAGAATATACACATTAATGAGCAGATTAAGCAATTATCTAACAAGCTTGATGCTTTAGCTACACATAATAAAATGTTAGAAACACAAATCTCTCAGGTAGCTCAACAACAAGCGGCTTCTGCTGCTCCTGCTGGCTCATTTCCTGGACAGCCTCAACCTAATCCCAAAGGACATGCAAATGCTGTTATCTTAAGAAGCGGAACAGAGTATGATGGACCTGTAGATCCCAGAAACAATAGCCCAGCTATGCAACAAAATTCTGTTAAACAATCTGAAACTAAAGATAAAGAAGAAAAGGAAAATCAGAGAGATAATAATGAAGATACCACGCAAAAAGATGAAACTTATGTACCCCCACCACCTTATAAGCCTCATATCCCATACCCTCAAAGGTTAGCTAAAACTAAGAATGTGGGTCAATTCAAGAAATTCGTGGATCTTCTGAAACAACTTAATGTTACAATTCCTTTTACCGAAGCTATAACTCAAATG